GAGTGTGGCCATGGTTGTTCCTCAGCCTGCAGGGCACTTGGAAGGATCTGAAAACCACATCTGCCTCACCCCATGACAGAGACACAGAAAGACCCCTCCCCTGAGATGGGGCCTTGTCACCAGCAATGTGCTCATCCCCGCCATTGCCTCCATTTGCTTGTTTCTTAATCCTTTGTTGGCATTTTTGAGCTGGAATGATGCTGAGGTCTGGGGCTGGGCAGGTTAACCTCAGAGCTCTATGTTTATCAGGACAACAGAGAACAGAGGCAACTCTCACTCCAGGGACTTACATGGCCTTACTGCGCCCTGCCCCCTGGTGACAGCTGCCTAGATGATTTGTCTTCCAAACTTTTGAGCTTTTCTTTATGGAGATTATAATTTTACTTTGGAAGAAATATGGCTTTATTAATTTCAATAAATGCAAACACTTTCAAGATATTATAAATTAGATTTTGAGAGACATCAAAATATACCAATCTATTAGGGACATGCGTTCACTGCAATCTGTTCATTTCCTATAAATTTTGTTTTGAGATATTTCCATTTGGCTTAAAAGGTTTAATTCTACTACCTGTTATTAGATGTGTCACTTGCAGGCACCAGGGAGAGAATCTAAATGCTGTTAGATTTCTCGTAATTAGACTCTGCTTTACATTCCAGAGTCAGGAAGAATTTTAAATACATTTAAAAAAAAATCAGAATCATCAAAATCAGGTTTAATATGGAAAGAGGCAATTAAAATTAGGAAAAAAGGGGATCATTTGCTTTTTAAAATTTTCTCAACCTGTACCTTTTCCTCCAAATTTTGCTACCCTAAATCTGCTCTAAGTATATAAACTTGCCTGCCCTCTGCTGAGAACAGCTTCTAGAATGGAGAGTGGAAAATGTGAAATGGAGTGTGTGACCCTGGCATGAGAGCCCAGGGAGAAGGGGCTCTGTCAGTTCAAAGGTTCCAGAACTACCATCTTTTGAAATGGAAAGTGGCCAGGTGGAAAGGTTCAGGGGATCCCCAGAACTGGTATCTGAACACTAGGCAGGCCCAGGAAACATCTGGAGACTGCTAGAAAGACCTGAAGCAGGATCTTCTCCAGGCAGATCAATCTGTGGGTAGAGCAAGTGGTCTGGGTGTGGTTAAGAAACCTCGGCCCCAGGGTCTGCTGGTGTATCTTCTGCACACTTGGGGTAGACAGAAGCAGGTGCCTCTCATGAACCCACCATAAGTCATTGGCCCTGCTCACCGTGAGAGGGGGGATCTGGAGCGGGCAGTTCCTTCCAGAGCTTCAGAGTCAGCTTCAAGTTATCAGACCAGCCATTCCGAGCCCTGTGTGTTGGGTCTGTCCGCTCCCTACACAGAGCCTAACCAGCTAAGTGATGCCGTTGCCACCCAGGAGATGAGAAAACCCAGGACAGACACAGGGCTGGTAGAAAACTAAGAATCCAGCCTTGCTCACCTGTGTAGGTTGGAGACACCTGCAGATCTCCAAGGAGGGCAGGCAGGAGGCACCTGGCTACACATTTGCTGCTGAGAACAGGGTCAGGGTGGGGAGAGGCGTTTGGACCGTCATTGTCAGGATAATATTGCGATGCCCTAACTCCATACATTTTGAGCAAGTGAACCAGATGTACTCCATTTTGTTAAGATCTTGCAGCCGCCCCCCCACCTTTTGTAACCAAAATAGCCCCTTGAACAAGCAGCAACCCTGTAAAAACAGGAAGGAAATTTAGCTGAGAGCTGCAAAATCCTGTGACAGCTGAAAAATCTTGTAAAACCACACTTGTGTCACAAGTCTGTCTGTGTCCCCCTTTTAAGACCCCTCCCCCATAGCTCTAACTTTGCAGATATTAGCTTCTATAAAATTCTGCTTACTCTAGGGCAGCGGTTCTCAACCTCTGGGTTGCGACCCCTTTGTAACAATGAAAATACATCGTGGCATTAGGAAGGTTGAGAACCACTGCTCTAGGGCTTCACATCCCCTGCTTGAAGTGCCATATAAAAACCTTGCACCCTCACTTCAAAGCGGTCAAGAGACTTTGTGGTGTAAGCCTGCTGTTTACTGGCCGGCCCAGTAAAGGACCCTTGCGTAATTCGGACTCAGTGTGCTGGCATTTCTCTATAATTCCATTTGCAGCAGGTCCAACAATATGAAAGCCTGGGGCCCGGATGAGGCCCCAAGCAGAGCACAGACAGGAATGAGGAGAGGCCCATGCCTTGGATGGTCAGACGTGTAGAGATCTGGTAGAAGAGTTGGTGGCAGAAGAGCCCGATCCTCAACTCCTTAGCACGTTCAGGGTTTAGAAGAAGAAGGTATCAGCACTCGCTGCCGAGAGGTTGGGGCAGGGGTCATCAAACTTTTTAAATAGGGGGCTAGTTCACTGTCCCTCAGACTGTTGGAGGGCCGGACTGCAGGCCTCAGGAGGAGTTGGCTGCTAAGCAGGACAGGCAGCAGTGGCAAAAACACCTGGTGGGCTGGATAAATGTCCTAGGTGGGCTGCATGTGGCCCGTGGGCCGTAGTTTGAGGATGCTTGGGTTGGGGGATATAAGTGCAGGAACGTGACCATGGGTTGGCAGCCATGTGGTCTCTGATGATGCTGACCAATAGGCAACTGAGTCCAAGAGCAGGGAGGGAATCTCAGTTGGGGGTGTGAGATGAGAACAGGGGGTGTGCTACTGGGTACAGGGAACACAGACATTTTTGACAAACTTCGCTGTGAACGGAAACGGAAACGGAAACAGTGAGTGGAGAAGGAATAGCTGGTGGGAGATTGGCATCAGGGAGGTTTGTAAAATTTTAACAAGAGGGGAAACATTTGTAAGCTGGATGTAACAGACCAGTAAAGAAGGTAGACTGATAACAAGGGAGAGGGAGGAACAGTGGAAAGGAAGCCTTTTAGGGACGAGAGGAGATGGAGCCACAGCCTGGCAGGAGTAGCTGCCATTGTCCCCGGTTGAGATGAGGGGTGGGAGCGTTCCTTTGCTGGTGGAGGTGCAGGAGGGGCTCTGCTCAGTGTGACCAAGTCACGGGCAGAGGCTCCGGGGTGGGCGGGTGCATGTGTGTACTTGAGTGTATGTGCGCATGTGTGTACTTGAGTGTGTGCGCGCATGTGTATAATTGAGTGTGCGCGCATGTGTGTAATTGAGTGTGTGTGTGCATGTGTGTACTTGATTGTGTGCGTGCATGTGCCTCAAGTGTGTGAATGCCATGTCAGGGTGAGCACAGCTGCTGCAGGGGAGCAGGTGCTTAGAAGCAAGTACGTCTGGCCTTTCACCTGTCATCCCAGGAGACTCTTGCACAACCCAGTGTGACTGACCCCATTTGACAGGTGCCAGAGGTGAGGGCAAAGCCAGCCTCTGTAAGGGGCCAGGAGGATGAAGACACAACTTTCCAATCCCTGACCACTACGCAGGCATAGGTGAGACTCCATCCTGACAGGTGCCAGGAGTGGTAGGTGGTTGTGCCGCTCAGGACTCAGCCAGCTCGGCTCCGCCACCCACCATGGCCCCACCCTCATGTCCCCCAAACAGCAGCAGTCCAGGCTTCCTCCGAGAAGACAGTGTCTGGGTGTCAGGCATCATGCTTGCCACCCCAGAGCAACCCCACTGCACCTGCCCCAGCTCCTCAGGGCAGAGCTGGGTCTGGTCAACAGGATACGCCCCCAGCCCACCACAGCAAGTGTAAGGAAGGGCTCAGACATCCTCCTCTGACTGCACTGACCTGGGCCTTCCCCGTCACCAGGTAGTATGTCCTTCCTGCAGGGAAAACTCGGCACCAAAAACCCTCCTATCCAACGTGTGCAAGGGACAGGGCAGGCAGGTCCTCATCACCAGGAGACAGGCTCCATCACAGCCACCCACTGCCAACTCCAGTCCTCTGCCAGTCACTGCACCTTCGACGGACACAGACAGTGCCTGGGAGCCTGTCAGACTCCTGGCTGCTAAAGGCATAGCTTGGGGACAGACCAGGCATCACTAGCTGCCAAACACGCCACGAAGGCAGCAGAGCCTGGACAGCACAGAGGAGCCTGGACACCGTGTCTGTCAGGTGCCTCCCGTGCTTCTTACAAGTTCCTGTTGGTGACTGGCTGGTTTCCCTGCTGCTCTGCCCACCCTTTAACCGAAACCCAGTGTTTTTGAAGCACAGATTGCTCAAGGCTGTTGCTGCAGCGCAGATCAGGGTTGGTGAGATTTCCCCAGAGCACAGCTCATCCTTGAGTGGCTCCCACTCAGGGCACCTCTGCTGTGCAGCGCCCAACAGCAGCCACGCCTGACAGCTAATTGCCTTGAATGGCCAGTGCTGTGAAATCTGAGGTTTCAGACAAGAGTGCATGGATTGGTTTCAGTGCATGCTGATTTCTGAGTAGGGACACACCCCTCCTGAGAGGAACACGCCGGGTGCTCTGAGCACAGCTCATTAAACCCCATGGTGGGACGCACTGTCAGCATGGCTGGCTCGCAGGTGAGCGCTCTCGCCTGTGGCTGCTCACCGAGTTTGCTCAAGCACCTCTTTCTGACAGCAACACAGCCATGTTTGGACACAGCGGGGCTTTGATAGGCTCTAAATTATATTATGGAAGCTTTTGTTCTTTTATGTTGCCTCTCCCGAAATACATATTTAAGTAACAAAGATAAAAGAGTATGCCCCAGTGAATCCCAGACGGAAAGAACAATTTCTCATTTCACAAATACTCATTTTCACAAATTCAGCAATTACGAAACATGAAGAAAGCATATGTTTTCTGAAGGCTTCTCTGTTTTTCTTATCCACACCTGCTTTTCCTGCTTTCAAAGGTAATCTAAGACATCGTCCAATCGGCCAGGCACTGTGAATCAGCATCTCCCACCAGCAGGAGGACGACGGATGTGGCTCCAAAAGACCCACCTCCCGGCTTATCAAGACAACACTGAACTAACCCACAATCCGGCCTTGGCTCCCATGGCCTCACCAGAAACGAGACCCACACTGCTGACCACAGTGGGAGGGCGTGCCCTCACGGTACTCACCGCCCCGGTTCCAGCTTGAAGAACTCTCAGTCCAGAGGCTTCCTGCAGTTCAGCTTTGTTGTCAACTGTGAGGAAAGACAGAGAAGTACAGGGGTCAGTGTGGAGAGGCATCACCTCAGGGCACACGTGAGCTCTCCCCTCTTGCCCACAAAGCCACTGTGTGGACTGCGCGCTGTACCGGCAGTGTGAGCCAGAGTGGGGGTAACGTCTTAGGGTGGGCCTGGCTCACCCTCAGGCTGCCGCTGGCAAGCATGGCTGGGCCGTCAGCATCACCCGCAGCACGCTGTCATGCTAGGAAGTCCCAGACATGCTCTGCAGACTGACGTCTTACTTCAAAGGTGTAACCATTGTTCGTTATCTAACTATGGGAAATAAGCTTCACCAGCGTTAAGCAGGACAAAGGGCTCTTGGGAGGGCAAAGCCACCAAGTGTTTCCTGCTGCCAGTGCTGGAGCCACCTGGTCCCTTCTTGTTCATGCCCCGACAAGGAACAGCCTGTAACAAGTTAGCTCCCATCCAAACTGCATCCAGTTCGCTCCCGACTCAGGATGAGGAAGATATTCAGGGAATGTATTATACTTGACAACAGGGGCGGCCATGGGTGAGGACTCGGGAACCCCAGCATGGACAGGGCCAATCCACCTGCCCTTCCCTACCTCTAGAGGGGAGGAAGGTGTCACAAGGCACAGACCCTGGCTTACGATCCTGCAAGAATGTTTTTTTGGATAAAGCCCCTGTCACTTTTGAAATGGAAACCAGAAAAAATACAATTTTACTGCAAACCCCATGAATGAAGAGTGTATTGCAATTGTGATTAATTTCAAATGACACAGCAAGAAAACAGCAAGACTTTGCACCTCCTGTTGTGCAGATGTTAATCTTGGAGAATGAAATTACGTCTTCCAGAGGGACACAGACAGACCCAGGCACAGCTGCCACGCCCACGCTGAGGGCCTGCTCACTGTGCTGTGGGGAGCGTTTCCCTCTGAACAAAGGGCACTATGTTCCATACACAGGTGATTACCCTGCACGGAAGGAGCCAGGCAGACCCCAGACCACCTGGGGTAGAGCACAAGGGTCAGGGGGCAGGGGCTGGCACAGAGGTAAACCCAGCTGCCTAAAGAACACCCTTCCCAGGGATGGAGCAGAAGCAAGCGATTTCAATGCTCTTGCACTGAGGGCAGATGGGGCAAGAATGGACGCCTGCACGCAGGAAGCATACACAAATGTGCTTTAAATGCCCAGTTCCTGTGCGTAGCAGCAGTGAGTTTCAGCATCAGGATGAGAAGGGCAGCCTGACCAGTGAATGCTAAGTGGAACCACTTGACCCAGGGGTCAGCAAACTGCCACAAAGGCGGGACAGTGCAGGGCTTAGGCTCAGCAGGCCCCCGACTCTGCAGCTGGCCCTGTCCCGGAGGATGAAGCCTGCACAGACTACACTGTCTGGGTGGCCTTGGTTGTTTCCAATAAAACTTTATTGACAAAAGCAGATGGTGGTCCTGCCATGACCCCCAGGTGGTGTTTGCTGAAAAAGTAGAGACCAATTCCAGCACTTGGGACAAACCGTCCCAGCCCTGCCTGCCCCGCACTTTGTTTACTCCCAAAGCTGAGGTTTTAATACATCCTATTTCCTTAATTCAGAAGTACACCCCATGTTTTCCCAGGCCTGAACCCAGGCATGTCTCATCAGCACCTTGTGTACAAATGTAGTGGTGATTCTCTAGAGTTCTGTCCCACAGGCCTGAGGCAGAGCCTCTGATTCCCCTTAAACATTTTCCACCAACAACTTCCCACAGAGCCAAGGAGGCACCTGACATTGTTTGGATGTAGGGGCCCCTCTGACCTTGTGTTGAAAAGTCACCCTAGGAGGGGAGGGCAGGGAAAATGTACTGGCCCAAGCTCAGGGCCCCTTGTCTGGCTACCAGAAACCGGTTTCTGTCATGTGTTCCCAGGGACTAGACTCTCTGCTGCCCAGCTGCACACACTCTGCAGCCACCACCACCACCCCACCCCCAGAAGCCCAGGGGCCATGTGGCTGCAGGGTTCCCATGCCTGTGTCTGCGTCCTACAGCCATGAACTCTACACCAGCACCCCCCACCTCAAGGGCCTGGGGGCTTCACAACTGCATTGTTTGTTTTGTGGACTGAATGCCTCTTTCTCCCTTAGAACGACACAAATCTTCCACAGCCACTGTACCCCAAACTTTGCCCAGATAGGAGAGCCAGGCCCCTTCCTCTCACCACATCTGTCTGTTTCATGCCTAAAGCCTCTGTGACCCTACCTTCCTGAGACAGTCGTTGGGACTGGCTTGCCGGTCTGGTCTGGAGCAAGATGCCTCAGTTTCCCTTACAAAAGCTGTCAATCCCTGTGCTCAGTTTCTGCAGGGCTGAGGGAACTCTGCAGGAGGCTCTGTGGCCATGCCCGGCACTCGGTTAAGCCACAAGCCCTGGTGTGTCCTCCTGGCGTGTGCGGGAGGTGCTGTGTCTGCTGCCCCATCGCCTGCTGCCCCATCGCCTGCTGCCCCATCGCCTGCTGCCCCATCGCCTGCTGCCCCATCGTCTGCCTCTTGCCATTAATCTGCACATCAGCTCACTCTTTGGAGCTCAAACATCAGCTAGAGCGTTCCCCTGTGACTCTGTTCTAGCTGAGTAGATTCCTAGTCTTCCTCCTCACAGGACCGTTGGGCCCAGGTCCACACACATGCCGAGGGGCTGCTCTTGCCCCATGATGGGACGTGGCTGGGCAGCCCCTCTCCTCAGCTAGAGTTGCGGCCTCCTGCTGCCTCCAGAGGGAGGGGCTAGAGCTTCACTTGCTTCCTGCCCCTTCCAGACTTTTGATGAGAAGAAAGGCAGGGCTGGCCCCTCCGGCCGTCCCTCTGGCTCATCCGTCCCCTCCTTCACTCATTCACTGTCACTCTGTGGAGGTGACAAGCAGGGAGGCAGGTGTGCCCAGCGTCCTTCTCCTCTAAGAAGACGACCCACTCCAGGTGGGGGCTGCCGCAGCTGTGGGAACCCATCTCCCAGATGCTGTTCAGGACACATGGTCTGCGCCACAGGTGGGACAGCCCAGCCGAGCAGGCGCTGTCACCTCCAGGTCTCCACCTGGACCCGTCCTTCCATGGGATGTCTTATGTGCACCTGTCGCCTCCTACAACCCCATGGCACCTTCACCCCAAATCCAGGATGCTAACGACCCTGTTGTAAGTCAACCTCTTCACTTCCACCTAAAGGGCAGACCCGACAGTCCCCTGTGCTGTGAGTCAGTGCCTTTCAAATCTGCATGCCGCTGCCTTCTGCTGTGTGGCTTTTTGTGCACCAAGGGTGGTGAATCCACCCAGCAGTGTGGCATCCCATCCACCTCCATTCCTCTTTAGTGGGAGGCCCTCAGGAGCACCACACACCCAGGTTAGGCCAAGCATCACAGCTGAGTGGTTCCCTCCTGACACTTTTACAGAAGGACCCCAAAAGGGCCTGGTTTGCACACCCAGAACAGAACCAAGTCCCAGCATCTCACTTGCTTCTGGAAAGCCCATGGTCATCTGGAAACCCTGTGGTCATCTGGAGACCCCATGGTCATCTGGAAAGTCCGTGGTCATCTGGAAAGTTCGTGGTCATCTGGAAATCCCATGGTCATTTGGAAAGCCCGCAGACCCTGCACTAGTGCTGATGTTCTCAGAAAGGACAGAGTCGATTCCAGAATCCAGAATACACTGTTTTCCAGCTCTTCACAGAGAAACCTCCTTGGAGATGGTGACCATGTGGCAATCACACGTGCAAGCTCCTTGGGCCCCTTGGAGTGACTCAGTGTCTGTGGGATGGACACGGACTTGTTGTGGCTTCATGCTCCTCTGTGACCTGTTGTCTTGGCTTTGGCTACTTTCAGAAATTTCTCTTTGGTGGTGATAAATAGAGAAGCTGTGAGGTTTTGCCTTTTCCTAGCAAGGCAAATGCTATGAATTTATTGGCAGTAACCTGGCCCTTGTGTGTGCCCCTCGGTCCTCCCCTCCGCTCACCTTCCCCTCTCCTTCCTCTCCCTCTCCCCTTCCCTCCCCCTCCTCCTTTGCACCCCTTCCCCTTTCTGTCCTTCTCTTTCTCTCAAATATCCCTAGAAGAAAAACAATAGCTAGTTGACTTCAGCGTCTTCTAGAGTCTGAGCCCATCCTGGGACATCCTTTGCAATATTCCTCCCACATTCTTCTTGTTCTAGAATATTTCTCAGAGCTCCCTGGACGTGCACATGGGTTTCTTCGTGCTTCCCAGCATGGGCGTGGTGCCGTGTGACGCCTGCACCAGGCAGTCAGGAGTGCGTGTTGGGCTGGGACGTGCCCTCTGGCTGTAACTGTGCGCTCACACCTGCTCTCTCTCTGGAGGCAGCATCTAAGGCCAGTGGAAACTTGGGATGCCCACCACTTTCTTCCCTGTGTGACTCCAGGATGATGCTGCTGTTGCCATGTTTCAGCTGGTGCATTTTCTGGGGATAGGAGGAGTCTTGCTTCAGCCGAATGTTCAGTCAAATCCCAGCCCTCAGCCCTTTTTTTGGGCTGAGGGCTGGGATTCGAGTTGGTACATGTGACCACAGCAGGCAGGCCCGGGTGCAGAGACACAGTAACAAAGGCCAAGAGCAACATAGAAAGCCCATTTTTATCTTCATGGGAGACAAAAAGGGTTTCCAAACACACACAAAAAAGTCCTTTAAAATTAAATTCACTAGATGAAGGATATGCAAATTACCTGAAGAAGCGGAACCTTATAGTGTTCTCAAAACTCTGCAATAGCCTATTTAATTAGTATTCTAATTTATCAGACGAATTCTTTGCACTTGACAATTTATGCAGTATTCCATATAATTAAGCACACAGCTACAGTGGAATGATTTTGCCTACTCCCTTTATCCTGCTATTTTAACCTGAAAGAATGTGCAGAAGTCTCTTCTGTAATCTAAATTGCAATGGGGACAACTTAATGGCTTTGCTTCATTAGACAGAGGCAGAGTGAGTGGCTGGGTGAAGATGTCACCTGGGAGCCTGACTCCCTCTTGATGCTTCTGTCCCTTCAGGGTGGAGCCT